GAAAATATATACATATACATATATATCGTTATGTGCTGTTTAATAATGGGGATACATTTTGAGAAATGTGCTGTTAGGAGATTTCGTCGTTGTGCACACATCACAGAGTACACATATGCAAACCTGGATGATAGAGCCTTCTACACCTCGGGGCTCCATGGTATAGTCACTGCTGCTAGGCTACAAGCCTGTACAGCACATTACTGTTCAAATCAACATAAGATTAAATTTAGCACAAGAGAAAATGATGCAATCAAGAGACACACTGAACACGAGATGTTTGAGGCTACTTCCAGTGTAACACGGCAGACACTTTTACAGTAAACTTTTTTTCACAAGTAGAAAAAATACAGTCTAAAATAATGATAAAAAGGATAGTATACCTAAAGCAGCAACACAGTCATTTATTATCATCAAGTAGTATATGCCGTACATGGTTGTATGCGCGATACTTTTACAAGATGGGCAGCACACAAAGCTTGTTTACACCAGCATTACAAACACGTGAGTGACGTGTTGTGCTGTGACGTCACCAAAGCTATGACATCACTAGGCGATAGGAATTTCTCAGCTCCATTATAATCTTAAGGAAACTTTGGCATATATGTGGTCCGTGGTTGACCAAAATATCATCACTCGGTGCATGACTATAATATACACTGTGTTAGACCTGAAATGTCCGTTACCTTTACTCTTCAGCCAGATGGCAGAAGTGATTCAGGTACTAGAAACTCCCAGAATCTTCCAGGGATCTTTCTGGTCACCTTGTCTATTCCCCACCCCTCGTTGCCAGGATGCCAAGAGCAAGTCCACCATATGGGCATCTAGTCTTCTGAGTGAACACTTTCGGCAGCAAGACCTCACAACCTCCTGAGGTAACTCATCCCTTCTGTGAGCTCTGACAACTCTTAAACCCACATGATCCATAAACCTTCAAATGGCTCATTCAAATCACTTAGGAGAAAAGATGAGTTTGTGGCTAAGGGAGTGCGGAGAGAGGAAAACCATGGCTATGTTTAGTGAGACACACACAGAGGCTGAATAATGGTTTGGGAGCATTAGTATAATTCAGAAAGTTGTTGCATGCTACCTTGCTAGGACTCATTTAAAACTGGTTGGAAGGCTTGGTGTTTTGGGGATGAGTTTCACATAGAATTTTAGAAGAGGGGAAAAATCAGTGAAGCTGAAACGCAAGGGTGGGAAGTCTATAAGGCACTTGGACATTAGACGACCCCATAAAGATAAATAATGGTGAGCTGTTCTCACTGAATCATATCTGATCATTATACTGTGTTGAAAGGAAACTGTTCGCTGTGTCTTTGAGCTGCATGATTCTTGGATCATTGAACACACTGGCTTTTACCTTGTGGCTTAAACATCTTGAGCCAGATTTTCTCTATGGCTGAAGCCATAAAACAGTAGGAAGCAGAAGCTTAAAGGACTCACTTAATTCAACAACAGAAAGCATTTATTACATGAGAAATAAGCTTTCTGTGCAGTTTGAATCCCTTAGCAATAGCAATAGACTGGCAGGAGTAAGAAGACCTGCCTGAGCGCTCTACTTCTAACACGAGGGTAACGCTGGGCAACCTTTCATCTGCTGTTCCCTCGCATGAACATTCTTCCCCAGGTAACAGCATGGCAAACACCTCACTCCTTCAGGTCTCTACTCCCATGTTACCTGCTCCGTGAGACCTTTCCTGCCCACCCCATTTAAAGCTTCAATAGACCCTGCACACACACACTTTCTCCACTTTTTCCCTCACCTTTTCCCCTTAGCACTTATCACTGCCTAGCACACTATAGATGTTCCCTATTTGTTTTAATTCTCGTCTATTCTCCCCTTCTCTTGATAATGGATAAACTCCCCAAAGGCAACAAATTTTGTCTGCTTTTTCACTGATATATTGCTCCAATTTCTATAACACGATGGTGGCATCTCCAATAGGAGATGCTGAATAAAAATAGGTTGAATTTGCAAATGAATCTTGTATAAGCCTCATGAGAGTTAATATTCCAGTGTTCATGAATACTAAGCTAAAATATTTATTGCAATAATTCAGATATAATTTATAAATCTAACCCCATTCTGTTGAGCTGCAACTGAGATTAAGAACTTTTTCGAAGGTTTCACATAAGTTATGCACAGGCTGTCCTCTTTTGCAGAAATGTGATCAGGCATTTGGTGTAAGATCAGGCAATTTACATTTGACATTCAGAAAATGCATCTGAGCCCTCTACTAACAATAGGACTATAAATTGACTGATTACAGGATAACACTTTGTCTTTTTAAAGACAACATTCTCTTAGAAGAACTCAAAAATAGAGAAAAAAGATTTAGAAAAGTGGAGTAAACACTAAAGATTTCCACTAGAATGTTGATTTCTTTCTTTCTTTATTTTTTTTCCAGAAAGTCTAATAAAAACACACTTGTAGCCCTGGCCAGTTTGGCTCAGCACTTGGAGCATCGACCTGCAGTCCAGAGAGACCAGGTTCGGTTCCTGCTAGGGGCATGCACCTCGGTTGTGGTTTGTCCCTGGCCCTGGTTGGGTCATGTGGGAGGCAGCCACTCCATGTGTCCCTTTCACGTCAATGTTTCTCTCTCTCTCTCTCTTCCCCTCTCTCCCTCCCACTCTATTTGAATAAAAAATGGAAAAATGTCCTCAGGTGAGGTTAAAAAAAACAACACACTTGTGCCCTGGCCGGTTTGGCTCAGCAGTGGGAGCGTCGGCCTGCGGTCCAGAGAGACCCGGGTTCGGTTCCCGCTAAGGGCAAGTACCTTGGTTGCAGTTTGTCCCCAGCCCTGGTTGGTCGTGCGGGTGGCAGCCACTCGATGTGTCCCTTCACATCGATGTTTCTCTCCCTCTCTCTCTCTCTCTCTCTCTCTCTCCCTCTCTCCCTCCCTCCCTCCTGCTCTATCTGAACAAAAAATGGAAAAATGTCCTCGGGTGAGGAAAAAAAAACACTTGTAAAATTTCACAATTAAGGTGCTTTCCACCTTCATTTAGGCCCAAACCAAAGAATCTAAATAAAATCTCATGATATTTTTATGAATCATGCTTGAAACTATTTACCTGTATGGGCTCTTAAAAACCAACTAAGAGACTTTGAAGAGAAGAGGAACTTAGTTGGATATTTTTTTAGATGAAGTTACTGAACCTTTTCTATAAAACTATATTTAGCTAATTTAATGTTATAATTACAGATATTTAGCTTAGAATGTAAGAAGGCTCGCTGACATTAAAGAAAAAATTATATAAGTGGGTGGTTTTGGAAACCAAGCAACTTGGGTTTTACTCAGAGCAAAAAATGACTACATTGTGATAGTAGTTAAATTTCCACCATCACTTTTACTAAAACCAGCATTCCCTAAACTTGTCACTTAGTCAAACCTCTCTGTTCTGTTTTCAAATGACAGACTACTCAGAGGCTAGCAACCAAGAGATCCTGGAAACAAGATGAAAGGCAATAAAAATAAGAGACAAAATTCTGGTTTATAAAACAAAGCTGCTAGCCTGACTAGTGTGGCTGAGAGGTTGAGCATGGACCCATTCACCAAGAGGTCGCCGGTTTGATTCCCAGTCAGGGCACATGCTCAGGTTGTGGGCCCGATCCCCAGTGGGAGGGCATGCAGGAGGCGGCCAATCGATGTTCTCGCTTATCAATGTTTCTCTCTCTCTCTCCCTCTCCCTTCCTCTCTCTCTAAAAATCAATTAAAAAATTATTTTTAATAAATAAAACACAGCTTCTATATTACCTATAATCACAAGTAATTAATCTCAATATAGTAAATTTCTGGAAGAGCAAAAAAGGAACTATTTAAAATATTAAGTATATTTTCACTTATGTAAATCTATTTAGATTAATTTTCTATAACTATAGCCCCATTAGTTAGTGGTAGAAAATCGAGACAAGATAAACTACCAAAAGGCAAGAGACTGTGACTTTTCCTTTTCACTTCAAGCTGAATCTTTTAAAATGTATTAAACCCAAGAAAGAAGTGTCTACTGAGACTTCAGCAGTCATTAAGCAATTGTCACCTTTCAAAATGATGTGGCTCCCTTTGGTACCTATAAGAAGGTAGCACAGATACTATTATCTAGAAGAAAGTAGACTGTTTCTACCAATGTAATAAATGAATTCGTGGCAATGATACAGATAAGAAGAATTTATACAAAATTTCTCTGTTTTGTTGAGGGCAAAATAATAGTCCTGATATCTAGAGGAATACCACTTTTCTACATAAATGAAACTGTAAACCCTATTACAAACTAACATGAGCAAATGCTACTTTCTGGTAGTCATGCAATCCTGACAATCACATGAGTGGTAGAAGATGAAGATGGCAGGGGCGAGGTCAAAAATTCCTAGTCCCCCTAGTACCCCAGGGAGGGGTACCTCTTTAAGCCTTACATTTCTCCCAGGCTTGCATTTCCTTTGGATGACCTGGCTGAATGGTGCTTTTCTAGAAAGGTAGCACCACACAGGTAACAAATTATTTCATGCCATTTTATTTAAGATGTGGCAAATTAGACAGCAAGCCAAGAGTCTTGGAAATCCTTTAGCCCACAGTCCATTTTCTTAGTGTGGGGATGGCATCCCAGAGCAGCGGCCCGCGGCCCAGCCTTGACAGGCAGCATGGCGGGGCTGCTAGCAGGTAGCAGAGAGACAATACTAACGTCAGTTTATTTCAACAAAGACAGTGACATTTCTAACCACAATTTGAGTGTTGCCCAAGTTGTAATAGCAGGGGAGTTGTCTCTAGAGACAGGGTCAGATGAGTTAATCATTAACATTCTATCCAACTCGAAGACACAAGAATCCTTGACTCCTGCACTCAATGAACATTTCAGTGTCTGTGTGCAAGGACACAAAGTGACTTTCAACAAATATCCTTTTTTATCCAAATACATCCTTATATTTGTGAGGATTCCAACATAGTTGCTATTTTTACTACAGCACATGAAGGGTTAAAATGATGGCCAACTCTGTTACTTACGTAATGGAGTTTGAACTTGCACTCATCTTCGATTTCATCTGCACTGTCTTCATCGGAAACATCCCCTTCCTCTGCATCATCTCCAAGGTGATAAGGCAACTTCTTACCCTGAAACGGAACAAAACACTTGATTTAAAAATGAAAATAAATTCATAAGAGTCAAAAGATGGAAGCAATTCAAGTGTTCACCAATAGTAGGTAAACAAAATGTGCTCTGTGCATTCAATGGCATGCTATTGAGCCAAAAAAAGGAAGAAAATCATGACACATGCTACAGCACGGATGAACCTTGAGGACATAAGTGAAATAACCATCACAGAAGACAAACTCTAAGATTCCACTCCTGTGAGGTACCCAGAGTAGTCAAATTCATAAAGACAGAGAGTAGAATAGTGGTTACCAGGGCTGTGGGAGGGGAGACTGCGGAGCTGTTAAATGGGTGGGGAGTTTCAGTTTTACAAGAGGAAAACTGGGGATTAATTACATGGCAATGTGAATATACTTAACACTACTGAAATGTACATTTAAAAATGGTTACGATGGTAGGTAAATTTTAATATTTATATTTTACTGTAATTAAAAATAATTTTTTAAAAGTGAAAAATAAAAATAGCCAGTCATTACTTCAGACTGACTAGAAAGCAGATTCTGAATTATGGGCAAAACGAGAGAGAGAGACTTTCTAAATAAGGTAGTTTAATTACTCTAAACTAAATATAATTAATTAGGGATGTTATACTTATAAATAAAAATCAGGCTTATTTTTGAGAATATATGGCTCATCATAACAAGCATCACACCATTCCATGCCCTTAAGAACAGCGTATACATATCACCTCACACCTGTCAGAATGGCCGCCATCAACAAATCATCAAACAAGTGTTGGCGAGGGTGTGGAGAAATGGGGACTCTAATACACTGCTGGTGGGAATGCAGACTGGTGCAGCCACTGTGGAAAACATTGTGGTGTTACCTCAAAAATTGAAAAATTGATCTGCCATTTGACCCAGTGATCCCACTTCTAGGAATATACCCTAAGAAGCCTGAAACATCAATCAGAAAGAGTATATGTACCCCTATGTTCATAGCAGCACTATTTAAATTAGCTAAGATCTGAAAACAACCCAAGGGTCCATTAGTAGATGAGTGGATTTAAAAGCTGTGGTACATGTATACAATGGAATACTATGCAGCTGTAAGAAAGAAAGATCTCTTGTCCTTTGAGAAGGCATGGAAGGACCTGGAGAGTATTATGCTAAGCGAAACAAGCCAAGCAGAGAAAGACAAATATCACATGATCTCACTTATTTGTGGACTATAATGAACCAAACAAACTGATGAACAAAATTAACCCAGAGACATAGAGGTGGGGTACAGACTGACAAGCCTCAGAGGAGGGGGGGGTTTGTGGGGGAAGAGATAAAGCACAGAACTTACATGCATATATGCATGACCAATGAACATAGACAACAAAGCTGGGGATGGGGTCGAGGGGAAGGGGAGGAGGGTGTCAATGGGGCAAAAATGAGAAACATCTGTAACAAAAACAAATTAATAAATAAAAAATTTTTTAAAAGAACAACATATACATACATATGGTTGGAAAGTGTATATGTGTTTTAGTTACAGTAATAAAAAAACAACTTGCCTACTCCAAAGCAGTAAGTAATCATTCAAATACCTTTTGGATCAGAAACTGCTCTGATGCTAAAGGAACATAGAAAAATCAGTTTTCTTGTTTTTGCTTTAAATGGGAATGTGCTGGTTTATAGAATCTAAGAAACTTCCTTAAAGCCTGAAGAATGCCACTACTAGCAAATAGACCTCGGCTGCCTTGCAGTACTTCACTCAGAGACACATTTGTCCGCTCCTTTCAATGGGTTCCTCAGATTTTCTGGCTCTGACTCATCCTGGTGCCCATCAGCCCTGGGATATTCTTATATATATTTAGTCAAATGACTAAAGTCCAGTTATGCAGAAGGGACTCAGTGAGTTCGTATCAATAACTACCTTAAGTTTCGCTATCCAAAAGGAAAATATTTCAATCAATGGACTTATTCTGCATTTAATCTTCTGACTGCTGACTAAAGAGACTCAGGGAACATGGGACCATTTACAAGGTAATAAACGTAACAGCTTTCCAACCCAGCCATCAGTATTCATCACAAGAGTTGACTTTAGAAAGACTTTAGGAAAATTGACAGTGTTGTCTTTTGCATTATGTGAAGCTTTTATTCAAAATGCTTTCACACATACAAATGCCCAGCAACACCTCTTTGAGGGAGTCAGTCCATAATTTTCATTTAATGATAAAAAAAAATAAGTTTTGACCAATTTCAAGGATATCTTTCCCATTTGCTGCCCTCCTTCAAAGTCTTGCTTTGAAATCAGAGTTTGACTGTTTTGCACCTCATGCGGGATTTTGTTGTTTTTGATTTTACACATCTCTTTTAGGTAAAATAGAATCCAGTTTGAATATCCATACCCTACTGCTCTTCTTTAGGTTTTTAGTCTCAAAACAATGCAACTATCCAAAATGGTTTGAATCCAACTACAAAATTAACTATAATTAAGTAAAATCACAAAGAAATCTGTAATCTCAAGGAACTGTCTTTCTGGCTATTACTTTCATTAATACTGTTCATTGCAGGTAGTAAGTTTCCCTGCTCACAAAACTCTGCTGCTAATGAAACGCCACTCCTGTCCCAACTGCTCCTTCGCATACACGGGAGTCCTGTGGGCGCTAGGTCTGTGCCTGGGCTCATCTTTGGAGAGAGATCTCACAGAACCAAGGCTGATCAACCAAATGTGAAGAGGTGTTTTGGGTTTTTTTGTGTGTTTTTTTTTTTTTTTTTTTTTTTTACAGTTACTGGAGCTTGAAATGGGAGAGAAGAATCTGAGACAAATGCTTTCCGATTGGATACAGGAGCCTGCTCCACCCTGTACCCCACACAGTTCTCCAGCATGAACTAATACAAGACTAAAATATTAAGCCTTTAGCTTACCGTATTGACGTTCTTATTTCAGAGAACTAAATTCCAGAACATGTGGCCGCTCGATAACTAGCTTTTTCTTAAGGTATGACTATAAATACATTGGAGCAAGGCACATACACAAATCCAGACAACCCTTCGGATATGGACTGTGATTATCATTCTCCTGAGAAGCCAGTTTGCAGCCCTGGAGGGAGGGAGGGCTGACCTGCTCAGTAATGCCCCTAATTGTGTTCCTTCGGGTAGTTACCTTCACCAGGATTTTGCCTTTCAAACTTTGAGGGCTTGGAAGCTGCTTGGTCTCCCCCGTGTCTATAGACGACAGGTCCAGTTTGTCCTGGAAGATTCCTTTCAGGTGCTGAGCAATCTTCCTCTGCTGCTGGATACTGCAGTGATTCTCAATCGACAGTATAACCGGGAACCTGCAGGAACAGCAGCACATTCTAAAGGCCGAGCACAGGCAACTCAGGGAGTTTGGGGAATCACTGCATATTCATTATGTTCTTGCAACCCTAGTAACTTGTGAGCATGGTGACACTTAAAATGCATCAAAATGAGGAAAATGAGAGATGCAAAACCAAAAAAACCCTCCTCTGAGTTCATATATTTTGCCAGGCATAATGACCGAACAAAATACCAATCCATGTGGGATAACTTAGTTTAATATTTTGTATCACAGGACAAAAATGGTGTGTGTTGTGTATATGTGTGTGTGTATAGATATCTTTTAAATAAAGAAAAGAGAACATTTTAAGGGAGATAAAAAGCCTAAAGAAATAAAACACATATAATGTAATTTTGTCTTATTTATTCAAAAGTCTAGAAACATCTAAGAGGCCACTGCAGATATTTGCACTTAATGTGTTATATGCTATAAATAAAATATATAACCAGCCCCTAGCTTGAATACTACTCTTGAGGATAAAATAATGGAATTTTGTGTTTTATAACATCCTATGCCAGGCATTTCAAAATCACTTGTAGAGAATTACACACCTATCTTTACTTTCAGAAAAAAGAAAGAGAAAACCTCAAGTATTCTCTCTCCACCAGCACTCAGGTTTCTGACAGAGAATTTGAGACAGGAGTAAAGTGAGTGACAGCCTGAGACGTGGGGGCCCAGCCAGAAAGGGGAGCAGAACTGATTACATGACATTACTTCTGTTTTTCCTCAGAGTGAGAAATTATTTCAAAATCACGTTTATTTTATTTATTTTTCAGTTTTCATCAATATCTTCCAAAGTAATAGGTAATATGTTTTCCCCAGAGTTACATGTTAATATTTAAATTGTCTAATATATCTATGCAGAGAGTAATTTTTATTTCTGGATGTGCATAGCAAGCATAAGCTCCACCATACAGGCTGTGACTTCCCGAAATTATATTCTATCCTCATTAGTTAAACCTGACACCAGAGGTCATCTAAGAGATGAACCTTTTTACTGAAGCTGGCTTCGTTATCTGACCATCATCTGTTTGCTCGTGACCTTACATGGGTTCTACATAGAGTGGCAGGAAAAGAGACAAACAACAACGAACTAGCAACCCTTCGTTATCTATGTAGTCAGATCACGAAATTCTAACAATGAACTTTTAAATTACTGACCTGTTTATAAAAAGCCTATTAGAGTCTAAAGATGCCTAATGTAAAGCAATGTTTCTCAACAGGGGAGGAGGGCAATTGTGCTGCACCACCCCTCGGGAAAAGGGACATCTGTCAATGTCTGAAGACATATTTGGTGGTCACAACAGGAAGGGCACTACTGGCATTGACTGGGTAGAAGTCAAGGATGCTGCTAACCATCCTGCATGTACCAGACAATTCTCCACAACGGTTATCTGGCCCCAAATGTCAAAGGTGCAAAGATCGAGAAACCTGGTTTAGACATGCAACTGAAGATTAAGAAAGAAAAGAAAAAGAATTGAATTTTAAAGTGTGCTAAACAGCTTATTAATTGTTTTTAATTTGAAGTGCTCTTCTCCTAAGGATTCCCAAACTTGAAGTAAGCACTGTCAGGTCACCAGAGGCTCCCTTGAGATACTTGTGTAGCAGGTCTTCTCAATACGCTGCTTCACATATTGGGAAGGAAGTGGGAAAATCCCTCCTTCAACTTGGCTAGGATGAGTAGTAATGATACATCAGAAATCAGTACTCGAGATTCTTCCTAGTAGAAAATACCATAAACTAAATCTGCTGTGCAGCAAATGTCTCTTACTACAACAGCATTTTAACCTCAGGGTTAATTAATGACAAGACCAAATATTAACAATTTTAAAGGCTATTAACTTTTCTAAGATCAATTTTATACAATTGTAATTTAAATTTGCTTTTTTCAATTCAAAAATTATTTCTTGAGTGTCTGGTATATTGCAGGTACCTGCTAGGCAATAAAGGATGAATAAGTCATAGCTTCATATTTTCAATGAGTTCATGATCTTATTAACTTAAAAAAGAAGGCAAGCAACCAACAATTATACGAGGGTGTTGCATGATGTGATAGAAATATGTTCAGGGTGCTAAGAACAGAAAAAGGGGGCATTTCAATCAGCAGGAGCCATCAGCAAGCCGTAAGTCTGCCAGAGAGACAATGTTTAAGCAGGCTTGTAGGATGAGCAATGACTCAGGTGGAGTAATGGGGAAAGGTGTTGCCGGCAGAGACAACAGCATGTGCTAGGGTAGGGAGTTGTGAAAGAACTGGGATCACTGGAAAATACAAAAGACAGTCAATTAAGACAGAATTCTAAGTCTCGGTGGATGAAGACACTGGAAGAGAAGAAAGAAGCCAGGCTTTGAAGGGCATGGAAGATACGACTGTGGGCTACAGGAAGTTTTTGAAGGATTTTAAGACATCTTGCTTATATTTTTAAAAAGAGAAATATTGCACCAGTGTGGAGATGAACCAAAGGTGAAGTGAAAATGAAGAGAAAGCAAAGGAATCAAAAGATAATTGAGGAAGTAGAATTAAAAAGAATTGACTGAGCCCGGCCGGTATGGCTCAGTGGCTGAGCGTCGACTCATGCACCAAGAGGTCGCCGGTTCAATTCGTGGCCAGGGCATACACCCAGGTTGTGGGCCTGATCCCCAGTATGGGGCAAGCAGGAGGTGGCCAATCGATGTTCTCTTTTATCAATGTTTCCACCTCTTTCTCATTCTCCCTTTCTCTCTCTCTAAAATCAATAGAGAAAAAAAATTTTTTAAAAGAAAAGAATTAGCTGAATCTAGAATGACTCCGTCTCTGAATAGGGATAGCCACTGATAAACAGTGCTACCCCTAACTAAAACAAATAATACAGAGCCAGAGTAAGTTTGGCAGAATGAGATGGTAAATTCAGTTTAGGATATAAGCTCCAAGATATTAGAAGCCATCTGTTGTTCAGTGTGTGGCTCCTTGAACCTACTGCAGCATGCCTTGCTTAGAGTAGGCACCATTAAATATCTGAATAAATACTTGAATAAATAATAACATTTATTGATTTTAGATACCTATGAGATAAATATACAGATAAATTTTTACTAAGAATTTTTCTATATAGCCCTGAAACTTGGGGGGAGGGGAAGTTCTAGACATATAATTAGACAAGTAACCAAAAAAAGTAGGCCAAGGAAAACAAGTTGGAAAATAGTGACTGTTAAAGGAGTGAAGAAATAAAATATAAGACCATAGACCAAAAAAGGAGAGTGAGAAGCAATAACAGCAACGGAGGAGAGAATGTTACCATAGAACCAAAAAAGCAAGTATTGGAGAAAAAAATGTCAACATTATCAAATACCAAGGAGTCAAGTAACATAAGTAAGCTAGATATTGAAGTATATTTGGACATCCAGCAAGTCTAGAAACCTAGATATTATTTTACTGAATTATAATATAATATTAATTAACTACTTTATATAGTAACCTATGTTTCCAGACTTTATGGACACTCTGTATACCCTGGGCTTAGAACTTTTGAGGTCACTCTTTGCAAGACTATGCTTTGAAGAGACAATGTCTAGAGACAGAATGGGGTAAAGAATAAATGGAGCATGAGAAAGTATGTACATGAGGTCCATATTATTTGTTCAGTGTTTTGTTGGGAAGGAAGGAGAGAACTAGGGTAGTAGAAAGATGGATACTCTCTTGTAGTCACGTCCCATTGGGCAACGCCCCATGAGCTGCCTTAGCGTAGCTCCCACATGCTGCTATACTCACTCATTCTTCACGAAGGCGTGCTTGTTGATGGTCTCCACAACATCTCTGAAGGGAATTTTTGAAGTGAGAGTATAACCGTGGTGAACGACCGGCTCTCCATCTGGGCCATCCCAACAGTCAACTGCCGGAAACAGATTTTCACATCAACAACCAAGAGATTCTGGCATTTACTAATACTTCTGGAAACATCAGACAAATATTTTTTTATTTGAGATTATACATAATATAATCATGACAAGGATGTCAAACAGAGAAATTGGTGTTCTGGCATATTTATCAGAATAAGGAATTGAAGATAATAAATAATTCGTGGGTGCTTATATGTTAACAGAGATGTCATAGTCACAGGCAGCTTAGCATGTACCATGTACTCTCATCAGAAATTGATCTACATCCAATCAAGTGTTCCAAGGATAGTGGTATCTCTCAATGGGTTGTTTCTTTAATTTTACTTCTTCAGTTTGCTAAGGTCTTTTAATAAGTCATAGTGACCATCTCAAATCAATAACAGGCTTTGCATTATTATTTACTTAAATTCATTATGTTTCCATTAGATTCATTTCCATTTTACTAATTCTACACTAGTTATAAAATAACATTGACTTCCTAAGTTCAAATCCTCAGGCCCTGACAAGATTTATGTGAATATGGGCAAGTGATTGAGTCATTTAAAGTCTTGCTTTTACCATCTATAAAAGGAAAATAATAATAGCACTCGCATCGTAAGTTTCAGCAATGATTAAGTACATATAAAGTTACCTATAATAAGGCACACAATAACTGATACGGTTATTGATAAAATTGATATTGTTATGTGTGTAGACAAGCTCATTGGCTCCAAGTTGGAGAAAGGCACATGCTTCCTCACAATCCTCCCTGACTTACGAGTTTTCCTTCTCTTGTTTTACACTCTGCTGTCAACCTCAATTCTCAAAACACTGCTTTCACCATATTGTTCCTTTGCTCAGAGCCTACCCAGTGCACAACACAGCATTCGACACATAGTATATAGCCAGTAGATATGTGCCAAGTTTATTAAATATCCGATAGCAGCTCCCATCTGCCTAACCCCAATGCCCCTATCTTTGGTACTAGAGATTGGCTAGCCATTCACTCAGCCCATTTTCCCTTTCAACCTGGCACACAGCTAGCTGAATCACACTGACCAACCTTCCCTTGCAGTAGGATGTGGTCACTGAAATGTGGGCAGAAATAATGAGTACCATATCTAGGTCTGGTCTACAAAAGTTTGCCCTACACAGTCACTCATGCTTTGTCTCCTGCTGTGACTTACAAGTCATTATTGAAGATGGCACAGCCATAGGATGGAAAGAGCCTGGACCCTCAAATCGCTGCTTGAAAGACTTACCCATTAGGAACAAATATTTTGAATTTCACATAAGCAAAAAATATACTTCAGTTGTTTTAAGGAAAGAGATTTTAGGTTTGACTATTAAAGGATCTAGAATTGTTTTAATTAATATCCTAGCTTCTGTTGACAAGTCAACCTTATTTTCTCCTACATCCAAACTCACAGATTTGTTCTTCCAGTTGGCAAGTGTCCTCACATACAAGCCCACCTCATGCCTTTGCTTCATTTAAGGTCAATGGAAATGTCTCCTTTCGCTTTCACTTTGCTTATATAAATCCTAATCCAGGCTAAGTGAGGATCCCCCATAGAACCTTGTCAGCTCTCATGACATTGCCCTTCCTTATGGTGTGGGGTCACAAGCTCAAATGCCAACAGGAGCCTAGCAGGTAACATAAATGAGAGCAGTAGGCCGACAGAAAATGTGTATCTAAATGAGATAACTACTTCTCACTCTGGTTACCGGATCTGAGAAAAATTTAAAACCTAGATTTTATTGCTGTGAAATTTTCCCTTTTATAGTTATTGGCAATTATATCTATTTTTAAAATTACAATGTGAGCCAAACACAATTTTGTAGGCTAGATTTAGCTAATGGAATGCCAATTGAAACTGCCTTTTAATTAAAGTCACACAGTTCAGGATCACACTTGTTCTCAATTTTAGTAGCACCTTGCCTGTGTGTGTTTTGTATATTACCTTGAGATAATATTTCCATTTCCTTCTAAAATATGTTCACCGTACCATAATGTGATTTGATGGTTAATATTATATGCCAACTTGTTGGGCTATGATGCCTGGTTTTAGTCAAACACCAGTCTAGATGTTGTTGTAAAGATATTTTTTAAATGTAATTAGCCTTTAAACCAGTAAGCTTTGGGTAAAGCAGACTGTTCTCCATAATGTGAGAGGTGGGCCTCACACAATCAGTTGAAGACCTTAAAAGCAAAGACTGATATTTCCTGAAGAAACACACACTAATGATGATGATAGATGATTGATTGATTGATAGATTGATTGAGTTTCTATTTGTTGTTACCTAATTAATTAATCAATTAAGCAATAACTGTTAAAATATTCTTAGGGAAAAAAATTAGAGAAAGTAAAAGGAGAAAGAACTTCCAATGTTGATACCATAGGAATACTAGAAACAAAGTTTAAGAATAAAGATGTTTTTTAGAAGACCAAAGGTTTTGGGACACTATAATGCAAGTTATATTGCTCCTTTGGGCCACAAATGAGGTCAAATGTATCAAAGACATCTCTGAAGAGAAGCTCCATCCAGCCTTTGGAATATACTTGACACTGTTTGTCTTTGGATACAGGTGTTGAAAGGCTAAACAGGTGCTTCAAAAATACAGAATTTTGACAAGTTATACCCTAATTTATAGTCACATCTTGAATGAGAAAGAGTATTAACAGGGTTCCTCACAAATGAACTAATCTTCTCTTTTGAAAAAAAAAAAAAAGCAACATAGACAAGGCAATACCCCACCTGACCTGATTATCATGAACATATAAAAATAGCTCTTAGAGCTACACTGATTATAAAATAAGGTGTTCTTTTGCTAATATTTATGGCACAGGCAGACTATCCATAGCCGACAATGGTTCTCCTCATGTTCAGTTTTTGGGTCTGATTTCACGACCCGTCTGCTAAAATGAGGATAACAACACTCCCAGTGGTTCCGGACTCCTAACATGTGAATGTGTGGCACTGGTAGCCATGGTAAAATGGCAGTGACATTTCCTGTAAGAGCTCATGCTGTCATGAGAATGTTGGCAAGGTTGAAATCTTCTACCCAATTCCGCTAGCCACAAAACAGCCAGGGCTCATTTTCCAATCAGGTTACACAGTCCAGGCCCCCGAAAGCACTCTGACAGATTGGTCAGTTCTAAAGGCTGAGCAGCTGACATGACAGCTCTTCATAACATCTCTTAAAAACGTTCCGCCCTGATAGAGCTCCCAGCGATAATAGGAAAGGTTGTAAACCGATTACACCAGCGATGCAACATCACTTCTGTGAGAGTGAAAATCCCCTGGACGGAACATCCATATTTATTAAGCAACTCAGGCTGAAAATCAGGGGAATAAAAGGCCATGCAAAAAATGTTATCAATTTGATTTTCTGACAAACCCACTTTACCAAAAAAGACTTATTAGTCTTACCCCAAGACACCGTATATCCTGGCCAAGGACATTATTGCAACTGAAGTATGGAGGTGGAAAATACAATGTTATCAAAATAGAAGCTTGAAAGTAAAGAGATTCCTCAGGTCACAATTCCATGAAGAAACTGTCTAGAATCACTACTCCCCACCCCTACGTGGGATATTTGGCAAAAGCTCCTTCAGAAAAAACATCTGGGGGACCTGAAATTTTCAATTCATTACCTGGTACATTCTATAAATCAGGTTCTGTAAATCCTAGCTACAACTGTTTAAGAATAAAAACAGCTTCATCCAGAACCAAGGTAGATAAAGTTCCATTGGGCATATATACATTGGTGTCTCCAGGCCCAAGTTTAAAATGTGAACTAAGATCTTCAAATCACAGGACTGACAGAAATTGTTAGACGAGCACAAAGATCATACCATCAAAGTCTAAGTCTTCAGGAACATCAAGATATTTAGATGCCATATCTAATCATGAGACAAGCAAAATCCTCATTTTAAAGCCAACCTCCCCTCTGTGCCGTACACTTTGCTTTTTTAGCCTTTCTTATATGAACTAATGGTCCTCATTTGTCCCCCTTAGAGCGGTCATGTCTTTCAATGCTTGTTCCTCCAAAAAACACACATGCTTCCTGGAAAAGAGTGAAGTGGGGGAGTCAGACAGTTGAGTTCAAATCCCAGTTTCCAAGCTTCCTAGCTATGGGACCTTGCCACTTACTCCACTCCAAGTTGGGGTGTCTTCTTAAGAAAACTGCTCCACCTCTCTTAGAGTTGTGAGAACTAAATGAGAATGTATGGAAAGCATTTTGTCAGAAACTAGCCCAGAAAAGGGGCTGAAATCATGGCAGTCCACCTGTATATTCAAATCACGGTAGTCCACAGTATATTTAAAGCCAAGGTGACAACCACAATTTTGAACAGTAAATAGCAAGTACAAAGCTGACCAAGACTACTCCCAGATAAATATAATTCTTCTCAATGAAAACTTTCCAGGAATAGTAGCTTGATTTTCACTGTTCATATATAAATCCAGTAGTAAAGACTTCAAGCCAAAAAAGAAAGGAGGAATTGGATGATGCAAGCTGGTGAGGGAGATATTTGAGAGATTGCACGTCTGATAAAAGCCACCATAGCTGTGCATATTCTCAGTTTGTGTGAATATCTGAAGAAGGTAACTTACCCAAGGAGGGCAAGGTTGGAAGAAAAAATGTATAAGAGAAGGCTCATGTTCAACATCACCTACTGTATACAATTTCTAAAAGCTCTCATTTTAAAATTAAAAAGCTAAGACTAAAAATCGTGTTTGCTTTACTATGAACTATCTTCATCAGATAACTTTTCTTCCTAATATCGCAGAGCTGGAGGATTAGACACATTGATTCAGTATAAAACAGTGATCATGGGGAACATGGTTAATCTTGGGTGGCACACTAATTCTGAACAAAGAAACAAAAAAAGAGGAAACCAGGTACCTGAAGGAGCCAAAAAGAAAAAGAAATAGAGTACAGAATGCAGAAGTAACAAAACTGCAAAACTGCATTGTTTTCATCTCCATTATTTATACTAGACTTGATTGACCAACTCAAGGACACGTTCACCAACACAAACTGGAGCCCAGAGAAAGGACATACCTTCCACGCAGCGACAGCCCTCTTGTAGCACCCGCGCATACATGTCCACCTTGGACTGAGAAAGGAGCTGGTCCCCAGTCAGGTACGTGTTGTGAGAGGACGCGATGTAGTAGTTACACAGAGGCTGATCCATGTCCTGGTACACTTCATGGTGCAATGGGTTAAATATGTCACAAGAAGGACTTCGCATGAAGTTTGTGAAGCCTTTGGGAGAAAGAGTAACGTACTATTGCTTTAAAGTATACGTACTTAATTGACGATAACAGAGACAGGAGAGATCCAAGTCTGTTCACAGTAATTACCCTCAGGAAGACCTTGGCAGGGAACACCAGGGCAATGAGAAGATTTGTCAGGTCAAGCAGACAGTGTCAAAGCTTAAATATGACTTTGGGAAGTAGAAGTTTAAACATAACTTACAGGGAAACAGACTTTTTAAGAATTTTTTTTTTTTTTTATCCTCACCCGAGGACATTTTCCATTTTTTGTTCAGATAGAGAGGGAGGGAGGGAGGGAGGGAGGGAGGGAGGGAGAGAGAGAGAGAGAGAGAGAGAGAGAAACGTCGATGTGAAAGGGACACATCGAGTGGTTGCCACCCACATGACCCATCCAGGGCCGGGAACAAACTGCAACCGAGGTACGTGCCCTTAGCGGGAACCGAACCCGGGTCTCTCTGGACCGCAGGCTTACGCTCTAACCGCTGAGCCAAACCGGCCAGGGCAGACTTTTAAGAATTTTGATTGACTTGGGGAGAGGGCTTCTTGCAAAGCCATTCAGTAACTACTGAGCTCAAGCTAGGATAATGTGCGACTTAATCAGTGACTGATACAATGATCCACCAACAGTTCAATGGGTTATTAAGTTCTTTTTAAAAAATGCTATTGTTAGCAGCATAGTTGAGGTAGCAGACCAAAAGTTAGACACACCAAAATTTATGGTGTGATTCTTTTACTATAAAATTGGCTTGGGAAGATGCTGCTAATGGCCTGCACATTTAATAACTATATAATAATGCTTAAAGGTTATGTAGAAAACCCTATCAGTTATTGTACAGGTTTTCAAAACCTAATGCATCATTAATATATGAGTAAATAAATGAATGACTCACAAGTACCTAAGTGGAATGGTTATTAGGGTAAATTGTTTCAAGTCCTTAAGAATTGTGTAGTAAAACTCTGTCAATATTCTCTGAGACTAGAATTTTGTCATGCCCTTTTTTATGGCCAAAACTTAGAAATCATGTTGAATTCCATCCTTTAGGACCATACCAAGGAAAAGAGTCATTTCTTAGTAAAGGTCCAAAATCGTTTTTGTGGGGTTTTTTTCCTGGCTGTTTTTAAAATGGTTTCTGATCATATAAATTTTAAATTATTCCTCTTCATTTTAATTACCCTTCACCCTAGTAAGTAAACACATGGCATCAAAACCCCCTTGACCACAGTGATCCTGGGAGCAAGGGGACCAGGAGGCCAACGATACAAAATGGTGAGGTCAACCATGGCTCTGCATGTGCTGGAGGGCAGCAGGCGGCCCAGTGGTCTTCCGCTAGAAGATCTGTTCTGCCTGCAAGATTCTACTCTCAGTAGAAGCCTGCAATTCATTTCCCTGCGTATTTTAAATACATATAGTTTAGACATACATGTAGCTAGTAGCTATATTCATATCATACTGTTTATATATAAGATCCTAGGATCTAGATTCTGAGTATATATCTGTGGGCAAATTACTTAATTTCTGTGAGCCTCACTTTCCTCGATTATAAAATGAGATAGTTGTATTCAAGAACTCTGTGGTTCCAACAAACCTCTCCACTGCTACCAACTAGGTGAAACTACTTCGTAGCCAATATTTTTAAAGAAACATGTTTACTTTCACATCATTTGTTTCCTAGATTACTTATTTTAGGACCAAATTTCCCTTCATAGAATGATCAGGTTGAGGCTATTTCCGAAAATTAGCTATTTGAGAAAAGTCTAAATATTTCTTAGTATCTTTCATACAAAGTGGCTTCAAGTTGACTTGCTAGGAGTTGAAAATGGGCATCGTTACTACACAGGTAGGAGCAGTGGCAGCATCATGGCATCTGCCATCTGAATCACCAGTAATTCCAGAGATATATTTGATTTTATCCTAAAAATTTTGCTAGAATTTAACTTAGTGAACCGAATTGAGGAGTGCGAAATTAAGAATATTGATTATTTTACCTTCTATGCCAAGAACATTTTTCGCCTTATTTTCTTCTGAAACTTCAAATTTTCTTATGATGTCAAGACAATAGTCTGTTGTCACATTATTCATCTAAACAAAACAGAAAATTAGTAGAGTAGCTGAAATTTCATGAGATTGTTTTCTACACTAAAAAAGGATACCAATTTTTTCAAGCATTCTTGATACAGTACAAAGTAGTTAAATGAACAGTGTTTGAGGTTACTAATGTCACAGACACTTTAATTTTGAAAAATGATTATGATCTCAATCTTTCTTGCATCTTTCAGATTTTAATCAGTGAAAACAGCCCTTCAACTATTAGAAGAAAAAAAAATGTGCTCTATGAAGCAATAAAATCAAATAGAATTAATAATCAATGCAAATCCATTGCAAAAAATCCACTCACTATAAGTTAGTAACCATCTGCAAAAGTAGTGTTTTCTACAGACACTAAAGTTTGCTAATCATAAATATATGTTGAAAGAAATTCTTTACCAAAAAAAGATGTTGTAGGTAAGTCTACCCATGCATGTGTGTATCTATAGATCCTCCCATTGAATCATGAGAGCAGTCTGTCATGCTGATTCAAGAACACAAAGGTTAGCAAGACAAACTATAAACAAAAAGCTAGGTGAGACAGCTAGCCTAATAGAAAACTCTGGAGCTGGACTGCTTGTGTTCAAATCAGCTAGCTTATGTTACTGGCAGTGTGGTCTGAATGAATCATTTTCTCTGTGACTACCTTATAAGGTAGCTGTGAGGATGAAATGAATTAGCATTTGTAAGAATATTAATGTGAGGCACCAAAAGGCAAGATACGATGTCATTATTAAGTCAGCCTCAAGATGGCTGCATGAACATTACATACTGAGTGTCACCAGGAAAAGTAAGCTTCTCAGAAATAATTTCTTTAATTAAGTAGCAACATAATGGATGTGATATTTTGATCAAAAAGCCATTGAGTCCCACAGTTTAACAGTGACATTTAAAATACTAATGAATAGTGATAGAGGAAGCTAATCTTGTGAGCCAGTATTGCATATTTCAATGATACTTCCCCCAAATTATATTATCTCTTAGGTTTAATACTTATGATTTAGCAAAATCTAATTTTTCTAAACAGTGTATTTAATAGCTTTTTTCATGGGAAAAAAGCTCTGGTATGCAGATATATTTTTGCCTGTTTGAAGGAGCACAGAATGCTTCCCCAAACTAGACTTAAGTAGTCTACCAGGAGCACATGAGATCTAAAATAAATAAATAAACAGCAAGAACTATCATCCTGGGATGGAGCTAATTGTGGATAAGCAAGAACATATTACTAGTTCAAGACACAAAGCAAAATGTGCTAACAAAAAGCATATTTGAAAAGTATAAAATTGGTGGAAATATTGGTAGGGATTCTTGAAAGCTCACAATTTTCTCGGTACCATAAAAGAATTCATAATCTACTTTCTACCCCAAATTCAAGTATTAAGTAAAATACAGTAGAACCTCATGATAATGAGAATTAAAATTTAACTCAATCATCTCCCATCCTTCCCCCACCCTGTTCTCATTTAATTAACCTCCCAATAGTAAAATTCTACATTTTACACAATTAAATTTGTTAGACCTAGCTTAAAAAGTTATATTGGGCCTGGCCGGTGTGGCTCAGTGATTGAGCATCGACCCATGGCACCAAGAGGTCGCTGGTTCGATTCCCGGTCAGGGCACATGCCCAGGTTGTGGGCCCAATCCCCAGTGGGGGGCATGCAGGAGGCCATCAATCTAAGTTCTCTCTCTTGTCAATGCTTCCATCTCTCTCTTCCTCTCCCTTTCTCTCTCTCTAAAATCAATAAAAAAACAAAATTTAAGTTATATTGAGATTTCACTGTATGAATGAAGGCTCAATATAGGCTAATGCTCTTTCTTGTCCTCTTTTTTCATGTTCTGCTTCCCATTTCATATAGCTGATAAGGTGAAATGAAAACACTTTCTCCCTGTTTCCAATGGAGTTTATTTTGAAGTTCTGGTTGCTATTAATATCTGAGCCACTCCCTGTCTCCAACACCAATGACTGTTCTTACTACACAAGGCAATTATCTCTAAAAGAACTTGAAGAAAAGTTGATTTCTTTTAATAATGATTCTTTACATTTATATAATGTAGTCATTACTGTGCAGTTAATAAAGAGCTTTCACATCTATAATCTTAAATAGTTCTCACAACAGTCTTGTAAAGTTATTTTTATCCCCATTATATAGATAGGAAAGTTGATGCCGAGAGAAGTTAACTACCTCAATCAAAGTCACAAAACCAGGAAGAGGCAGAACCAAGGCTCAATTTCAAACTTTTGACTTTAAATTCAAGCCTTTTTTTATATTATATCTATTCTCTGGGAGTTTTTATTTTTACTGAAAAACTGAAATGCTTACTTTGAAATGAGCTGAAAATCCTGAATCTTAACTTTTTAAATTTTTGCAACTTTCAACTCCGTTACTATAATTCTACTTCTTTCATTATTTCAGATTGAACTCCATTCTCTTTTCCTTGTTTACTGTAGTTCTATAATCTCATCCAAAAGAAAAAAGAATAACTAGTCCTCGTATTACATACTTAGTGCCAATCCATTTCACATGGACTAGTTGTAGAAACCAAAGTCATGAATCTATAAAATACTTGTATTCTGACACTAACTTTTTATCCCCAGACTTCTTTGTAAGTTTTCTACCAAAGTTTTTCCAGCGACTGAAATTTTTAAAATAAAGTCAGAGGAAGTAATTAATTGTATTTCTTATAGTTATGATTTCCAAAACACAAAATCATAATTTGCACAGAATTTTAATATTGCTAAGTTCTTTCCAATGTTTTTTATCAAAGTAACATATCCATCATTAAATAAGTCAAAACTAAGATACTTAGATTAAAAGCAGACCCCCTTCCCATACCCAAAACCACATTCCAGAGATAAAAATGCCAACATTCCTAGCTAATTCTTGTAAAATGAGTCTTCATATTCCTAATATACTCTTAATAATTAGTAAATGATGCTTTTTTCTATTTTATTTACCTTAAACATTATCTATTAACTTTTTATGTGTTATATAAAGACTTAGCTTCTTTGGGACAGCAAAACTAACTTTCTCCCTCTACCCATCTTCCCAGTATGTTTATATCTTAATTTTTATTAAATTACTATTGACTATGTAAATTATATTGTCTATGTAAACATTGAACACTAAGTCTGCTATGTAATATGATTGTTTCTTTTCTTATAGAATATATTTTTCAAATTTCATTGCTCCAATTCCTATCCCTTTGGTTAACAATCCTATCACAAATTTTTACTTTATCCTTGGCATTGCAAAATTTTACTATGATTTGTCTCTGTGTAGACCTTTTTTACATTCACTGTTTGGCAGTCAGTGAGCCCACCTATCTCGAGATTCCTATCTTTTGGATCTAATCATCCTTTTGTACTATTTATTTGATAATTTCCTCCCTTCTATTTCTTATCTTTTTCTGTAACTCCTGTTATTTAGATAGTGGGCTTTCTGGATCAATCTACTAATTTCCTTATCTTTTCTCTTTGTTTCCTTTTTTTTTGTTGTTTGTTCTACTTTCTAGGCAATTTTCTCAGTTGGATGTTCTAAGCCATTTATTGAGTTTAGGTTTCTGCTCTTTTCTTCCTCTGAATCCTTTCTCATGATGCCTTGCCCTTGCTTTGTGGCTGCAGTTTTATCTCTCTGATATATAAATGTCCATCAAAAAAAGCAATAAAACAAGACTTGCCCTGCTGGCCACAATTCAGCTAACACATTACCATTGTATCTAAAATGAAACATAAGCTACCATTCATTATTTTGTGGAAAAATATGCATATCTATATTCAACATCTTTAGGGTAAAATATGGAATGTATTAATTTGTCACTTTCTCTTTAAAAACCTACTGGAAATACGCTTTAAATAACTCATAGATAAGATTTTGGAAAATTGTAATTTTTCCACCTCTATCCTAATTTAAACTATACCTACATCCAACCCAAGAGAAACCTAGATATCATTCACAAATATTTTTTAAGTAAACATTCAACTCAATAGTCGAGTAATACCTTTTGTTCCACCTTCAAAAACTGAGCCAGTTCTTCCACAGTTAGATGATCTTTCTTGTCACTGTAGTTCAAGAGCAACAAATAAAGGTCCCGTCTCAATGACATCATTTTGTAAAAAACACAGAACTCTTCAAATGTCAGGGTTCCCTGATTCTCATCTGTGTCCGCTTCCTGAGAGAGGATATTACAAACAAGGCAGTGTGAGAGTTCGAAATCAGTACTGGTAAATAACATCTACAGTGAAAAGGGCAGTACACATTTCACAAATGGTAACACATATTCTTCTCTAGCACACATGGATCAGTTTTTAAAGGGGCTCTATATTAGGCCAAAAGCAATGTTGCAATTATAAAGGATCAAGCTTGCCCAGTTGATGTGGCTCAGTGGTTGAGCATCGACTCATGTACCAAGAGGTTGCTGGTTTGATTCCCAGTCAGGGCACATCCCCAGGTTGTGGGCCTGATTCTCAGTGGGGGGCGTGCAGGAGGCGGCCAGTTGATGTTCTCTCTCATAGATGTTTTTATCCCCCTCTCCCTCTTACTTCCTCTCTCTCTAAAAATCAATAAAGAAAAAAAAAGGATCTAGCTTATAAAAACTCATTCCTCTCAGCACTGTAAATTCATAAATCAACAAAGAAAGCTTTAAAAAATTGTGTCTGGAAACAACATAATATATTTCTGAATAGGAAATAAAACATACAAGTGACACATGCACCACATATTAAAACCTGTGATGACGTTAAAGCAGCAATTAGAGGAAACTTGAAGTTTTCCATTTATTTGAAAGCAACATAGATCAAAAAGAGAAGCTAATAATTCAGCTTAAAAATCTAGAAAAAAATTAAGCTAAAGAAAATAGAAATAAATTATAAACAGAAGCAGAAAGCAACAAAATAGAAAATAAATGGATAGAACATACTAACGGTGAACTATTAAACCAACAGCTGATCTTTTGGAAAAAACTAATGAAAAAGAGAAATCTTGGACAAGACTAATCATAACCAGAAGAGAGAAGACATACTTAACACATGACAAAAATACCAGTCTCTCATCATCTTCTGAACTTCATTTAAATCACATGTGATTTTTACCTGTAACAGAATCTCTGCCAATTCTGTATAGGTAGCTTAGTGCTCATATAGCATCAGAGTCACTGGTACCTCCCTGATTTTCCTCCACAGAAGTCTGAAAAATCCGTCTGCACTAATCTGTATTTCAAATTATTTGTTTCTAGCAATTATTGGGCAAGAACCTTTTCCATGTATCTTCCTTCTGATTGAATGAATTTGTCATAAAACTGTTGGGAACATATAATAACAACCAATCCACTTACATGATCTCCTTTATTCTATGTGTACACACTTGTAACTGAACAAAAACTGACAAGGAATCAATGGCATTTTGTGAAATACGGGTAGCTGTTATGTGATTTTAAATATAGGTTGAAAGTCAAAATGCATATAAAAAATACACCTTTTTAAACTTTGCTAATTTGGGGTCAATTATGAGCAAAAACTTTGACCAATATTTAATCATACACAGGTTCTTTGTGAGGCTGATTGCTAGTGCCTCTGTCATTTTACAGGTAGAGAGAGAATGGTCCATAGAATATCAACGTTCGGGTGTTTGAGGCTCCTGGTTGTAGAGTCTTTGCATCCTAAGAAATTAGGACTAATGTTCATATTTCTTTCACAACTTTGTTTCAAAATACCTAAGCCTGGATACAGAGATGAAACATTTTTCAAGACTTCCTTGTAAATGCCTAAAAAATTAAGAATAATAAAACTCTGAGTTTTAAACCATAGCGTCAAAGACATCAATAGAAGCTATCCATACACTACAAGATTTTTGTTTTTCAAGTCAGTTGAATCTTACACTGGAACAAATAGTCAAAGAAAAACTTCTAGGAAGACTTTATGGTCTTTATCAGCAATTTAGTAAGAGAGAGGGTGTGTGTGTGTCACTGAAATGATACTAAGATCCCTGGTCCTGTCACGCCCACCACGAGCACTTACAGAACCTGCAAGAAGAAAGGTGGGGTAGCAATGTCCTACTACAGCAGGCCCGGCCGCTTCTCCACTCACTTCTGGCTTAATAAGTCTTTAAGTCAAATGTCATTAAAAAAGACCCTAATGTTTTCTTCAAACTTCTCTAAAGGATTTACTCTGAACCCATAGACATTTGATATACACATTTCCTACTTCACTTTCTAAAATGTTTGGTGCATTAGAGATAAAAGGTGTCTGAAGTGGAAAAAATCAGAAGTAAAAATAGTTCAATATCTTAAGTTTCTTCCTTATCTTCTAAAAAGTACCCAGAAAATCATTATTTATATAGCTATAAACTTCCCCCTCCGCTTTAAACTTGGCCTCTCTGATTTAATCAGCAGCTGCCTCTTCAGCATTATGAATACCTCCTATGAAAAGGATCAGATGGGGGGGGGGGGTGGCTCACAACAGGACAAAAGTGAGATGTCACAGGGAGAACCAGGAACATGGCAAACCTTCTCATTTGGTTAAAGACAGCGCACTCTATATGTGACAACTCCTTTCCCCTTCACAGTCCCTCACTCTGTATCTGGGGTTCCTTCTAAAGCATATCTCACTCCTTCCTCCTTTCCTTCCTCTCATGATGTTCTTCGGTGCAGTAGGACCAAATTCCCCACAATGCAACCCATCTCCAGCCTAGAGCTTCCAATGACAGGACCACTATAAGAGGTCATAGGTAGAAGCCAGCCTCCATCTTCCATTCATGTTGCAACTCACCCCTCATGTTATTTCTGCCCTTACCACCTCTAAGAGCAAGTGCTTAGAAAACAAAGAAATACAATACATTAAACTTTAAAAAATATCATCCCCTATCCTTATTTTTACAGGTACAAAATATCACCTACCTAGTTACTTAGAAAATCATTGCAAAACATGAATTATGTGCCCGACTGATGTGGCTCACTGGTTGAGCATTGACCCATGCACCAAGAGGTCGCTGGTTCGACTCCCAGTCAGGGCACATGTCCAGGTTGTGGGCCCAATCCCCAGTGGGGGACATGCAGAAGGTGGCTAATCGATGAACATTGATGTTCTCTCTCATCGATGTTTCTCTCTCTTTCTCACCTTTCCTCTCTCTAAAAATCAATTTAAAAATATATTTAAAAAAAACAAAACACATGGATTATGTACACAACTTGCCTCCAAATAAGACCCTTTCCTAAATTCATATTCTACTAATTACTAATAATCTAACATTGTCTTCACACCAACTTAAACTCAGAAGAGCTGACTCCTGCATCTCAGACAGAGGACTGAGTCAAGCCCCAGCTGGGTACCACAGAATAAGTTTGGGCCCAAGAATTTTCCTCTAGAACTTAACCAACGGAAAGAGCATCTCATACCAACAAGCAATGGAACGAACTTCTGGAGAGCTCCCTAAATGGTAAGAGTGACAAAGTACTTCTAAGCTCTATGGATTCTGAATCTTAAACTCATTTGAAACAAAATAGAGGACTCCTGAGGATTTCAAGTGCAATTTTTTGTTATGTCTTTATTCTGATCGTCACAATAGCCTGTGAGGTGGACAGGTGAGATATTGCCATCCTCTCTAGGAGACTTGATCACATTTACTGCATTATTTGTCAGGTAAAGTGTTTATCATCACTCTGAAAACAGCAACAAAGAGGCATTTTAGGAAGTGAAATCATAAATGCATGTTAACTTTAGAAAGCAATTTTTTTTTTCCTTGATGAAACAAAATTCTTCTCTTCATCAAAGAAAAATAAAGCAATACATAGCAGGTAAAATTAGCTTCCAACAAAACAAAATAGCCTTGTGAAATATCTCAGTACATCAATAACCACTAAAGTGGACTTCACCGAAGGCCAACCAGACTGTGAAAACGTACCTGGAACATCTGTCTGACTTTTCTTCGGGGCAGGTTGACATTTAGCTTATGCATCAATTGGTGTATCTCTTCAATGTTCAATAAGCCATCACCATTCTTATCAGCTTCCTCAAAGGTTTGCTTCACCCATGTGCAGAACCGTCAAGAAAAACACTTGTGTTTTCACAAAGTGAAAGCTGCCCTCTCACAGAATACTTAGAAGAAATTATTTCGAGGGGACCCTGCAAACCACAGGCTCTCAGTGAGCCCTAATAGTGACAACGGAAGACATGGGGGAAGCAGGGCATAAACAGGTGATTTCCTTCTCTGGAAAATGAGTCAAACCATATTATTTTGAGAGGTTCTCCAACTCCAACATTGTTATCCATCTGCTAAAGCATCTCTCTAATGTGATGAAACCCCAACTATCCCAAATTTGGGCCTTCTCCCCCTATGACCTTTCATCTATATCTTTTTTACCTTCACAATACCCCATGTTACGTGATGTTTTCAGTGCCCTTTCCTCAGTTCCACTCCCACATTTAGAAATTTAGATTATCTACTTCAATCGCCTTAGTGTTTACATGAGGATATAAGTGATAGGAGAGGGAGAAACTTGGTAAGAATGAGCAAGGGACCCAATATGGCCTCCAACAACACCTGTCTGGTTGTGCGGCTTGCACCACAAAGCATTCTTACTGATTCAGCATTTTTGTTTTTTACCAAATGTTACAAAGTTAAGAAGCAAACTAACAAAACAAAGCACAGAAAGTTAGTTCCTATGTTTGTGCTTTGTTCACTTATGAATCCCAGCTGCATTTATCTTCATGCTGAGAATATCAATGAAAACATCATGGCTCATCACCTCAGGCGTTCGCACTATCAAAACCCTTTCAGGGGCTGAGTGTCTCCACTCTGCTCCCAAAACACCCCAGGTGAGAAGTACAGCCAGAGCAGTATACATTTATCACCACTCTGGGCAAAATATTAACGCACACTTTCCAATGACAGCAAGGAAGTGGTACTACTCCCTCCATGGACTGGGGGGCACATGTGTTTTAAGGCCATTCAAAATGTGCAGAAGGAAACCAACGCAGTCTAACACCCACAGTTCATGGAAAACCGAGGCCAGATCCGCCATGGTACATGCCCAGCTAGATCCCAGCAGGAGAGGTGCCTTTCAGATCAAGCACATTAATCATTTATCTTGTCAGCACTGCAGAACCACAGAAATGGGTTTAATCAAATTGAGACTCAGCCTCCAGTGTCTCGAGCAATTTAGACAGGGTATATGTCATTAAGTGAAAAGTAACTTCCCCTTGAGTGTCAATCAGTTTCGTCTCCAAATTGTAAGTTAGGAAAGAGAGAGGGGGAGCAGGAAGGAGCTGAGTGCCTGGCACATAACTGGAACTCAAACAGTGTTTATCAAACTGAACTGACTATAACAAAGCAGGATTTTTCTAAATACAAATAAATGCCTTCCTAGTTACCTCATCTCTCTTAGGAAATTTCGTCAGGATAATTCTCAGCACTAAATTCAGTCTCTTCTGAAGAAGGCTGTTCCTGAGTTCATATAGCTTGTTTCTATATGTTTCAAACATTCATTTACTTTCAGTGATACTGAGGAGGGGACAGAAGGGGGATAGACACAAAGAAAGAAATTCTATATTTCAAACATTCACTTACTTTAGGTGAGACTGAGGAAGGAACAGTGGAGACTAGGGGTAAAGAAGGAAAAAAACTGGGGGAAAATAAAGCATAGTCTGATCCTCACTTATACCACGCACCACACCACACCACACCACGCACACACCACACACACACCATTCCACACAGAGCTCAAAAATAAAGCTTTAGGAAGGATATTGGTTGTGAGTCCTTTGCCTTTTGGCGAGAGAATCTTCATCGCTGATGCCGGCCATCAGGTACTTGAGGCCTGTGATCCAGGTGCGGGCCTCCTCCGGGTTGGAGGTGATGAGGTCCAGGGACTCCATGTGGTTACCATGGTAGATGGTGAAGCAGCAGCTGGGGTCAAAGTTCCCCTCCGCTTGTCTGTGGAATATTTCAGACTGCCGCCCCTCGGTGACTTTGTAAATGGAGTCAATAAGTACTGTGAGAAAAGTGAAATACAAGATAAGTGAAGAGATAAAAAAAACTTTTTTTACGTAAGCATGAACAAATTCATTGTCGGTGAGTTATGGTGTAAGTCCAAATGTGAAATATAAGCCCTACCACTTGCTGCTAGGAACCCTCTGTACATGAGACTTTACCTTCCTGAGCATTCGGAACAAGGCCCTCCCAGGCACTGAGTTAGGATGGGTTGAAATTTATGATAAGATGATAGATATGCCCAGAAGGGCAAGAAGACTGGTAGAAAAGGGAGCTGATGAATATATTAACTGTATAGTTTACATCTTTATGTAGGGAAAACATACAAAGGCCTAGAGCCAACTCTGTTATTTGAAATATGCATGAGAAGATAGAAAATTAAAAGGAAAAAAAAAATTTAGTGGTAACCAAATAACACAATTAAAAGTGATTGGCATTTACAGTGAGAATGTTATTATGGGGAAGGTAGAGCAAGGCTTAGAGAGGTGGGAAAGAACAGGGTAGCATCCCGGGGAAAGAGGAATAAAGATACCGAAACATAAGGCCCACTCCGGGGATGCTGCACAGGCCATTTGTACTGGACTGCAAAGCTCAAGAGGCAGCGTACAGGAGATAAAGCTGGAAGGGCAGTTAGAGGCTAGATTACACAGAGCCTAGAATAACAGATGAGAGATTAGCACTATTTAAGCAGAGGAGCAGCACTGAACATTTGGCTCAGAGAAGTACCGCAGGGAATATTATGAAACTAAAACAACATTTTTTATTTGTTTCCTTATTTTTAAGCATGAACTAGAGGGGCTGCATATCCTATTGGTTGCTCACCTACACCATCCACATCTCCCCTCTGCCTTATTAGCAGATTCCAGATTTTCTTCTGGTATCAACTAATCCCCTACATGAGTCAGGAAAATGAGCCTGTGCCCAGCCCAAGGGCAAATTCTGGTGGGTCCCAGCCACTGGGGTGTCCACATTCACATTTCTTATGATTGATTTAGGTGTGAGAAATGTAACCCAGCTCTAACCAAGTGGACTTGGGACAATGTGCCTTGAGTGAGAGGTCTAGAAGAGGTTCTTCTCTTCTAAAAAGGAAGTAACCAGAAGAAAAGTCCCTCTGCCTCCTCACTCTTATATCAGGTTTTGAGGCCCAGACATGGAAGCCATGGTGCTGGCCAACGCACAAGGGACAGAGTCAAGAGCACTCAGGAAAACAAACTAGAAACTCAAGGCCTCATGCCTGGGGTCTGCCAATCTCTGAGTTTCTTGTTATGTGAGATAACAAATGTGTTTGTCATATGAGCCTAATTTGTTCGAGGCCTTCTGCTATTTAAAGGGGAAAGCATCTTAACTGACCAAGCAGAAGAAATTAGCAAAATGGAGGCTGGTTAGGAGACTTTGCAATTGGCCACCAGAAAGATGACAAGACACTGGCAAGGTGTTCCTGTGACAACATGAAGAAAGGAGCAGATGAGAGAGCCATTACAGGGGGCTCCACTTGGACCTGGTGCTGAGTGAGGAAGGTGTTGAGACAGGCTGTAACTAAGAGTCAGATCAAAGCTATTTACTTCATTTCCTTAAGACAATTTTGTTAACTCACGTATCAGTCAACTGTGCTCAGAATATGACAAACCACTTTCATGTTCTTTGGAGTCATGATATCCCTAAACTTTCAAAGGAAAATAACAGACCTCGGGCTATAAAATCAAATAACCCAAGTAAAAAAAAAAAGTCTCCAACACAGGAAATATTAACATTTACAGCATTCATGAGCAAGAAAACTTTTATGGATTTAAATTCCCCCAAAGAATTATAAAGGCAAAAATAGTCATTATTTATTCTGTCTCTCCACATCCTTTAACAGCTGGCCCCAAAACTTGCAAAAATATGGAAGTCCTACAGATCCGAAGCTTTAACAGAACCCACCCAATATAACCCATGTGTTACTGTGTCAGGCCATGCAAAAAAAATTCAAAGGTTGATCTTACTTTTTGCCTTCTCGCTCTTCCTGGAGGGTCTCCATCGGAGGCGGGTCCGGTGCTCATCCAGGTAAAAGAGCCGGACGAGCCCTTTGGTTCCACGCTTCACTTTGATCATCTGTGTCCCAGACTGCATTACACCCATGCATCTTTCAACTGCAAGAGATCAGAAACTTCACTGTCAAATAAAAACCTCTGATTTACCCCTAAAGATACCCAGGACCAGAAGACAAATTTGCGATAGGTACTCTGGAAAGAGTTGTCAAGGAATTGATTCATCAGAAAAAGCCTTACTAAAATAAGATTCCACTTCAAGGTATACAATGCATTACTGTTACACAAAGCTATCTTTTGTTCAGAGGGGCAACAGGCTGCTTTTTTGGTATGAGACTGATGATCATTTGATACTTGGATGTACGTTCATAAAGCAAGGTCTCAGACTTCGTTTTAGATCTTGTGAGTTTTTACATAGCCAGCAGTAAAAGCATCTTATGATAGTGCTTGAAAAGGCAATCAACAGAAATATAATTGGCAAAATGTTTCAATAAATGCTGAAGTTGGATAATGGCTATATATGGGTTCATATTATTATAGTTGTGTATGTTTGCAAATAATAAATAAATAATCATTTTAAAAATGTAGTTAAAAATCAAGTTTTCACAATTAATCATATAACTTTTTTTTTTTAACTTCCTAGTATCAATTCCCTCCGCCTTTTCCTACCAAAAGCATTCTGGTTATTCTTTGAGTCATTCCTTTTTCTCTCCATTTTCAGTCATGTGTATTGTTTAAAATTAATCTACCTTTCAGCTCTAGGGTATCTCATCACTGAGGTTACAGTAATTGGTTCAGAAATGGGCATGTGACAGAATCTAAGCCAACTACATAAAATGTGATATTCACTGGGACTCTGGAAAAATGGATTTTTAGCCCCTCTGAACCTAAATTTTGCAGCCTAGAGCTTCCAGCTGACATCTGGGGTCCAAGGAAAGTAAGTCTACTTGAAACGGAACCAAAAGCAGAACTGATAAGTGGGAAGAGGAAGAGTCCTGGACCTGCTGTTCAAGCTCTGCATCAAGCCCCTCCTGAAACGAGATACATCCCTGAACTATTTAGTTTCTGCTCAAATGGCTTCCATTTGAGTTTTCTGGTACTTGCAACATAGAGAATTTTAACTAATACACTCAATAATACTTAACATCGGAGCTTGAGCAGGCTAATTAACCTGTCAAGTTTTGATTCTACAATCAGGATTTTATGAAGCTGAAGCTGAAAGTTGCTAACCTCCAGAGACAAAAATTTAGTGATAGTTCCTCTAAAGAAATTCTCTTGTTGAACTAAAAGGAAGGCTTATCCTAAAATAAGGGGCCTGATATATAATAGAGGGAAATAAGGATCTAGACATAAAAGACGGATTAAACTGCTAGGATTTTCCACCTAGAGGAATAACAACTGGTTGATTGAATTCAAATAATATCCAAATCATTTCTTGTCCAACTGAAAGCTATCATTTAAATTCTCTCTGCTTTGAGATGAGCCTTGTTGGAAGAAGCCATCTATTGGTATTGCCTGTTTCCCCATCACTGGTCCCATTTCATGTGCCTTTGGTGGCCTGTCAATCACCCCAACTAAGAAATGGGCACCTGTCCAAAGCTTACAGAAAATCTGTCTTCCTTCCAATGGTGCAGGGCACTGAATAAAAACCGAACTGAGCCATTTCAACTGCCAAGACTTAAGAGATGCTCCTTGTTGGCCACTTTAAGATGTCACAGTGGTCAGAATTATTCTTACTGAGGCTGAAAAATTATTCTATTTTCTCCTTGATTCGGTGACTTCTACAATTGCTTCCAATGTGCTTTTATTATATTATCCAGAAACAGCTTTACTTCATCAACAAATACACAGGCACATATATAGCCCTCAGAGCACTGGAAGGATCTGGCTTGGATACCAACAAGCAGTAAGCTGTTAGAAACAGAAGGAAACACAGTACGTAACTTCAACAACATTAGACTTTAGCTTTGTTGGCTAAGTATCTTGTCTTTACTAGGAAAGATAATTTAACCCCGAAGCTTAGTATTGTATGTGCAGGGTACTTATTAAAGGTAACTTCAACATATCCAACTTTCACTGTTTCCTCCATGAAGAGCCTTTTCTTTCCACAAAAGATCAAGTGAGAACTACATAAAGTTAAGTATGGTTTTAGGAACTGCTATTACATGGGAGGTGAAATGTAGCTTGTTCTTACTCATTTTATCTGACACATCAAATTACCCAAGTAATAAAAATACTGCTTCTGAAATGTTTACTTTGAAGCACAGAACAAAATTTGAGATTTAGTTTCATACATATTAGTAAATTTACCCACCACTGAATACCATTCATTTAGGTAATGAGAGACCCAGATTTGAATTCTTGACAGTCACTTTGACTATCTCATAACAGTAATCAGAGGGAGAGCAGAAGAGAGTATGTCAGCATTTCAAGATAAAAATCATTAAGTCAAACTAGACCAAGCCAAACACCCAGAAAACTCTACTAGAATGTCAATAAACAGATATTCACAAAACAACTCCTTGTTCCAGGCAAGGAGAGAAAGCAGAGAACAAGGAGACATTGTCTTTACCTTAAAAAAGTTGAATTTTAAGAGAATGAAACATCTAAAGAGATAATTTATTAATGGTAATTTAGAGCTACGGTTAAGAACAAGTCTGGATCTAGACATTTGCTTATCTATAAAATGGGAATAATATTATTTACCTCTTGAATTGCTGCTAATTGAATGAGTTAATTCAAGTGGAGTACTGAAAACAGTGCCTGGAACACCATAAACACTAGAAATGGTAGTTAGTATTAAGATTTTTATTATTAAAATATTTTTAAAATAAATGCCAAGTCAGAAGTAAAGACAGAAATACTATGGGAGTCCATTGAAAAAGGGGACTACAGTGAGCTGAAATGGGGAGACGCATGATAAAAGAGGATCAGTGAAGACTTGGGGGCAGGAAAGAGGAGAGGCATGATCAGAGGGTGGGGAAAGATGGGTCTCCATCTCTGCGAGAGTGACTCAAAGGGAACTGACAGGGTATATAATTCCATGGGCTGGATCAGACTGGGCTGTGGAGGGTTAGGAATGCTACTATGAGATTTTAATCCATTGGCAATGAGAGATTCACTAGATATTCTTGAACAAAGGAGTAACAGGAAGATGTTTCTTTGGGAAAAGAGAATAAAATAAATTGTTTAGACCAGATTTAAAAAGTTGAATGAACTGTACCATCACAGATCTAGAAAGCAACACTATAACTCCATAGACCATCTGACAGTGTCCTCTGCTTTGCTCACCCTGCCCTTTCTTTCCCTTTCCTGTCCACAGTCCTACGTCTTTTCCCTGAAATGGAATTGCTTGGCTATAATGTCTCAACAACTTAACAGGAAAAACACAGTAATATAGAAGTGTAATCAGTTTTTTGAGCTAATAAATATCCCCTACCACTTAGCAAGAGAAATCATCCTACCACATCATCCAGAGAAAATGAGATCCAATCCTTCAGAGAGGGAGTGTGTTTACACAATATATTAAATATTCACTAGCGTCACATTTATCCCACCAACATGGCCATAGGCTGACTCTAGCACCGTCCATTGCAGCAGACAAGCACACAAGATCAAAATGTACGTGGTTGGCAGAGCCAGACTCTGAAACAATATGCCGCTTGAATTGTTTATGTAGCTGTTTTGTGCTTTCTCCATGATGCTTCCCTGTCACGTAGAAAAGTCATTTGGTTAGAGTCAAATTGAAAAATCAAGTCCCATGGAGTCCCAAGAGTCATCTAGCTACCTCTCCCTTCCTTAAACAGCCCACTGAGTTGTCAAGCTAACCAGAAAAGGAACACCCTCAAATCAGTCCTTGTAATTCATCCCAGTAGGTAATGATCACCAATGTTGGAGACAAAGTATTCTTCCAGTGTCCTCTCAATCATTTAAGTGTCAGCATAAGTTAATTTCTTCATCCTCTGCCTTCAGTAGAGGAATTTAACAGTAGTTACCACCCCCTATAAAAATCATTCTCCAACCATTCCAGGATCAGTCGATTCATAAAACAGAATGAGAAACAAGGGAGCAAAAAAAGAGAGTTCCAAAGCAGATAGACAAGGACAGAGACCCAGTGGCTTAGAATAGTATAACCTTATCACACACATTCCCAGTGCTGGAAAGTGTCTGGGGGAAGTCTGCAAAGGCAGGTTACAAATTCAGGCAGCTATCAACATGTGCACAAACCCTTTGCCACATCATTCTCCCTTTAATAACCTCAATATTTTTAGAAATAACATTATGTGAATGCAATGCAGCAACATTCAATATTAAGAAGAAATGTCCATCAACCCATTATGTAACACACACACTATTTTTTTCTGTTGTGGTCCAGATCTCAGTATGTACAGATTTGACATACTGGTTGCAATCAGGATATTTAAGCCATTTGGCCCTCTGTTTTTATTTCATTTGTATCATAAACAGCTTTCCATGTTCCTATATAGTCTTAATAATTATCATTTTAATGGCTGGCTGATAGCATAGCATAAATATTTAAAGAGCAGAAGAGATGAGTAGAGAACTATATTCTAATTTTATTACATAACCAGAGTTTTAAAACTCTTAACAGAGTCTCATCTGTAAAATAAAAGGGGTAAAAAAGTGGTCTGCAAAGTCCTTTAGAATTCAACTTTTCAACAGAATTAAATCAATCATTTCTGCCACAATCAGTTTGAAATAAGTAATTGCCTCAGGGGTTATAAGTCAGTAAATCCCTCCAGCAGAAAATGTTGTAAGAAAAAAAAAAAAAATACACTTGTAATGTGAAGTATCCTAATACAAAGTATGTATCCTTTGGGGGGAAATTTCCTACATTTCCACTACGTATATATGGCATCTAAGAGGTTAAATTCTTTCAACCATGTTTGAAATACAGATAGTCATAGTAAGTTAGGAATGTCAAACATGCCCCCCAATGCTGATGTTATGACAGCTTTGAAGTATAATTTATATATATATTGAAATTCACCTGTTTTAAATGTACAGTTCAATAGCTTTAGTGTATTTCGAGTTTCATGGTGATCTAATTTTAGAATATTTCCATTACCCTAGCTGTATTC